GGGTGTTGTGGGGAGAAAACAAGGCTCCTTGGAGAAATGGTTGATTTCAAGTCTGGGGCAGAGTAAGAGCAAAGTGAGTTTAGGACTTCTTGCTCCAGAAAGCAAAGAAGCCTGTAAAGACAAATGGGGCTGTGACAAACAGACCAGGAGCCAGTGTGGAGCCGTGCATAGGTCAAAGTCGTGACAATCTCAAAGTAAAAAAAAAAAAATAATGAGTTTAGTAGATTGAAACAGACTGAATCAATGAAAAGTCAATGAATCTATAATCATATTTTAAAAAGAAAGTCATAGAAATCTCATTTGTCACCATTTGAGGTAGGTATTAAAACAACTCTTTGAAAACTGGGAAATAAAGTGAAAGAATTGATCTTTTTTTCTGCCTTTCTGCTAGTAACTGGGTTTCAGAGTAACAAAATTGTCCACCTGATGAAGAAACCTTTTCTACCTAGGAATCCTGGCTGATCAATAAAGGGTGGTGGGATTTTAAAACATTGTAGAAACCCCAATTAAACTAACTGCTTATTATCAATTGGTTCACAACCAGTAGGTGAGTGGTTTGCACAGTAATACCTCCATATAGTGCAAATTAATACCACACAGATTACTTTCTAGTCCCAAAAGAAAGGAGTTATTCTACAATGGAGGAGGGAGTACATTGTTATTACAGTAATCCAAGGTCCATGTTAGTATTACTAATGATGGGTCAATGAAATATTAAGTGTCTTCCAGTGTACTACAATCTCATATATCTGAAATCAATTAAAATCAGCCAGAAATGTTTAATTTTAATGCATTAAGCCTTTCAACATAATTTCTAGGATATGGGACACGTGTGAAATGTAAGAAACTTATGCGCTAAATGACATCACAAGCCAGACAGATACAGAAGGTAGTACATTCCATAGGACAACTGACCTATTCTCATTAACAATCAGTGCCATAAAAGAAAAAATGAGGCTGGGTGTGGTGGCTCACACCTATAATTGTAGCAGTATGGGAGGATGAGGTAGGCAGTTCACTTATGGCCAGGAATTTGAGACCAGTCTGAGCCACATGGCAAAACCCTGTGTATACCAAAAAATCAAAAAATTAGCCAGGCATGGTGTCACGTGCTTGTAGACCCAGTTACACTGGAGGCTAAGGCACAAGAATTGCTTGAACCTCGGAGGCAGAGGTTGCAGTGAGCCGAGATTGAACCACTGTACTCCAGCCTGGGTGTCAGAGTGAGACTCCATTTCAGAAAAAAAAGAAAAAAAAGAAGCAAAGAAGCAAGGGGTTGCTCTTCTGCTCTTCTGGATTAAAAGAGACTAGGGACAAACAGGGGCAAAGGTGTGTTACTAATGTTTCACAACCAATCTGGAGTGATGGGGAGCCTTTGATCTGCAATATTGGCTGATTTCCATATTGTAAATACTTCTCCATGGCACTTTCAAGCTACCAACCGACATCCACTAACTCGTAAAATTCCTGAACGCTTAACAATTGAGTGTTGTGGGAGGTACAAGCCAGTTGCAGTGTCACTACTTAAATGACATCACAACCTGGCTCAGTGTGGTCCTAGATTGATACAGGAGAAACCAACTGCACAAGTCATCTGAATGCCATCTGGGAGAATACTTGATGAGCTTATAATATGATAAAATGGAAAGGTAGCCATCATTACAAAAAGAAGGAGGTTATGAAACAGGGTGTATAGTATGCTTTCATTTTGATATAAAATGTTACAAATATGCTAAGGAGGATATTCAACAAGGTGCTAACAGTGCTGACTTCTGGATGATGAGAATATGCTAGTTCTTTTTTTCATTTATCTAAGATTTTCTAACGCACTTCTGCCAATACTATAACATTTGGTTGTAATATTATGGTGATATTTTTAAGAGAGATGATAACAAGGCAAAACATATTTTGGAGCAGGGAGGTACACTAATAGATAGTGTCTGGGAGATCAATGCATCTGTCTTATCCTTGGAGGGGCCTTTTCTGGCCAGATTACCTATTTGGGGCTCCTGAAAAAGAAACTGGCTGCACTTGTAGAAGTTTGCAAATAAAGTAGGAACTCACAGCCTGTACTTTTTTCCTCTTTCTTTTGAGTCCTCTGTGACCACTGCAGCCCGATCCATTGTGAGTTCTCCCTCAGCTTAAGTCTGCCAGAGCAATTTTTCATTGGTTTATTCCCTCAGTCACTTACTCCTTTACTCCACCAATTGGACTCCATGCCTTCACTAAGTATCCCAAGACACTTCATGAAGCTCAACTTGGCATGAAAGTATGGATGCATGATCCTAGCCCCCAGCAATGCACTTGGAATTCAACATAGTTTTCTGATTCTTTCCCATTATGACAGTGCTTTGAAGACAAGGGCCATCATTCCCACTTCTTTGTTTCTGTTGAAAAGTTTAGCATAGAACTATTTACATATTAATAATTCACAAAATAATTACTGACTATAAAATGGGCTCACTGTTTTTGCAACTTCCTAAGGGAATAATTAAACATACTAACCAGTACAAGCCATGGGCTGGTTATCTCCAGACATTTTTGATCATGTACTCTCCTAAGTAAAGAAAAATAAATACAAACTGAGCATTGCTTCTTAACAGATGTACATTTCTCTATCAATTATATACATGTACCACCATACTAACATAATTTTTTTCTTATTTTTAGATGATATTTATTTGCACACTCTGGAAAATACTGGGCTAAACTAGCCTGACTTTTGTCTTTTTCCTCCCTGTCCTCCTCCCTAAATCCTCACTGACAAGTATAAAATTCTCCAGAAAAGGAAAGAGATGGCAATTGCAGCAACCTGAGTTAAAGGCAGTTTTCCCAGCCCCTAGCCCCACCTACTACATCTGAAGGATGTGTCACTTGATGGGCGTTGTGCTTATGTATCTTCCACCCACACACAAACTTCCCATACCTCTTCAATCTGGAACGTAAGCCAAGTAAATGTAACTTTGTTACCCACTGCATAAATAATATCAGCCACCATTCAACTTCCAAATGACTCCTGTTATACTCTCTTCACATTGCACAGAGATGTGAAGAGAAAATAACTTTGAGCTAGTATCATTTCGGCAGGGAGCTAACTCAGTGATTGTCATCTGGATGAAATAAGGAAGAAGTATCAGGACTTGTCTATTACCCATGCAGGTGAGACAGGAATAGAAACATCCGCTCTGTCAAATTGACTGGCCTCCTGCTTTAGCACTCTTAGACTCTGGTTTAACATCAAGATGTCTCAGGCTTTAAATGAAATGTCAAATATAATTTGGCTCTGCATTCCCAGGATATATGATTGCCCTTGGAGAAAACTTGATAACTCAGCGTTCCTGTGTCAAATGTGTATCTACCTGATGGGGCACTCTATAAAGCTGGTCTCCCGCTCTCCCTCTACCACATAAAAAGCCTCAGCCAGCCCGATGAGGCAGCTTCCATTCCTTGCACTAATGGGCATGAGACTCCACAAAATGGAAAAAAAAAAAAAAAAAGCTTTTATGTCCATGAGGCAAAGGCCACTGTTCAGAGTTCTCTTTGGCAATCTAATCTGCACAGAATATGTTAACTCAGTATTGGAATGCAGAGATTTTTAAGGTCTTTGGATGCAGTTAGACATGTCCATGACAGTACATAACATACATCCCCTTCCCTTAAAAGTCCTCTGACTGAGATGTTCCTCATTATCACCGCCTCTAGCTGGGCATTAATTTTCTTCATTGTGGGAGAGTCAGGCTCAGCCCCAAAATTCAACTGAAAAAACAGGTAAAGACAAAGAAAAATATATATAAAGCAGGCTGCTTCTTTCAAGCAAAAGTAATTCAGCCTAAACTTGGAAGAACTGAGGGGTTGACTATGCACTAGGCAGCTGTGAGACGAAGAAGATAAAGCAGTGAATGTGATCAAAAGACTCAGAGTGGTCCAAAGTGATTTTTGAAAACTAACACAGTAAACAAAGAAATCTGACAGCCTTAGCCTTGAGTGTACATACACATTTTAATGCCGTTTGATCTACAGCAAAAGGCCTTTCTCTTGTTGACACATTGCAATGCCAGAAATTCTGAACTGCAGTTGGAATGCTAAATGTAAATATGGCCATGACATATGTATCTGAAAGGGGCAATGAACCATCCTGATATGAACATACTAATGATACCTTACTGAGCACGTAAAATGAGCCTGGCAATTTTGATCCATTATCTCGAATGCTCAGAACACCAAAGAAAAGTTTTATGGATTGGATTGTGCCTCCTCCCAAAAAAGATATTTTGAGATCCTAACCCCCAGTATCCCAGAATGTGGCCTTATTAGGAAATAGAGTCTTTATAAAGGTAATCAAGCTAAAATGAAGTCATTAGAGTGGGCTCTAATCCAATATGACTGGTGTCCTTATTAAAAGGGGAAATTTGATTCAGAGACGCACAGAGAAAAGATGATGTGAAGACACAGGGACACCACCAGGTGATGACAGGGGATCAGTGTGATGCATCTGCAAGCCAAGGAATGCCTAAGGCTAACAGAAACTAGGCTGACAGAAGCTAGGAGACCCAGAGCAGATCCTTTCCCAGTGCCTTTAGAGGGAGCATGGCACTACCAACACCTAAATTTTATACTTTTAGCCTCTGGAACTATGAGATAACAATTGTTTCTTTTATAATGCAGAGTGAGAATTTTCCCTACCATGTTTGATAAATGTTGTCCAGATACCATTGCCAAGAATGTGTTGTCCAAAATGCCTGTAGTTTTTAAAGATGGAACTCCACCCTTTGCTTGGTTTTAAGTATGTATGGAATGTTATGATAGGACACAGTAGTGGTGGTCAGACATGGAAATGGTGGGGAGATAAAAATATACATGTGAAATAAAACTCAGTATTTTAATAAAGTAAAAA